TCACGAATAATCTAGTATTTGCTAGGCGCCCTCTATTCTTGTATATAAGTGCGCCAGATAAAGCGAAATTATTAATCGGAATTACAATTGGAGACAGGCAGAGACAGACAACTGAGTCGAGCGCTGTAGTAAAGTGCGTGAATCGTGGTGAATTATAGCGTGTGTTTAAGTTAAAGTGACTGTGTAAATTAAGTGTATTGCAAAGTTGAATTGAGAAAGAATAAACTAGTGTTATTTAAGAAAGGACTTGTATCGCTGAAGTTTCTCGGAAAGAATTTCTACGGAAAATTAACAAACGACCAGAGACGTAACAATACGATAAATTACAAAATACACAGTTTTTGTCTAGAGTCCTAAGATCATTAGGAATTTCTCATCTTGAAATGTGCTATAGTATGTCCTATGAAATTCTTGAGTTAAATTTGAATAATCACAAGATATTAGTACAGAGACGATTTATCATATCGAAGTATTTGAGGTTAATACACTAGAAGACCAAAATCGTCATCGTATCTAAACAACTGACAGCATGAAAGACGTTTTTGTCCACATGATTTGATAACGTAAAATATATGAGAGCGAGAGCATATCGCTGTTTGAAAAAGAAGTAAATGTGAGAAATCAGTTAAACTTGTTTGAAAACCTTAAGGATAAACTGGAAAAATGATAGTAAAGAGAAAAACCTGAGTAATGACAACAGTAAAAAAAAAAAGTCAAAGTGGGCTTTTGATTTGATTACTATGGCAACAAAGAAGTAAAGAATGTGACGATCGTATATTGAATACTTGAGTGTTCAAACACTGAAAATAAGTGATTTTTTTTTTCAAATGAACGATTAATAATATTTTGGAAGAGATCTGGAAAGAGCTTCATGATTAAATAGAAATGAGCTGCTTATACGAGTGACATAAACTAACTTTGAATCGGTGTTTCGTCAGAATCGTGTACTAGTATACAAGAAAGGGAAGATGCAACTTGCAATAAATCAATTTACAAGAGAGGATGTAATTTACGAACTCGTGTCCTTATAACAATCGGTCATAAAAAGACAGAAGGGAAACCACAATTTACTAATGCTTAAAGTAAGGATTAAAACACAAAAATACAGATGATTTGGATTCACATGACGCTAGAAAAAACAACAAAATAACATCAGAATTGATTTTTACTTAAGTCCTTAATCTCATTGTCTAAAGCATCAAGAAAAAGTTCTAAGAATGAAGTGAGCAGAGATCTATTTGTTAAAAATAGAACTAGCTGAAAGTATAAATTCACAGAATAGTTTACTAGAAAATGCTTGCCGGAAATGAACAGAAAGTACTAAATGATATATATTAAATCTTAAAAAATATATATACATATTGAAGCAAAAATATCTCTCCAAAAGAAATTAAAACACCAAAATCATAGAAATCATTTTCAAATTTGAAACAATATTTGTCAAAAATATATCTCGGAGTTAAATATAATGATTAAGTTAGTATAATTACCACGAAAAGTAAGATTACAAGTACGACAGCCTCCTGCTATGAAGAACTTGTTTTTCAATCAGAGTTCCAGTATTAGCCTTTGGTTAAAATTTCTTTATTTCAACATACCGTTTCAGTAAATATATTTTCACGAAGAAAAGGGTGTTATGATTATTTGACAAATCTTGAAAATAAAGTTGAGTTCACTTAACGACAGAAGTGCAGCTCTTGGTGTTCAATTATATATTTACTTGGTAAGATATACCATCTTTCACGATATTATATTTAATATTTACATAAATTAACTTTCCAGTTTGTATACTTAAGTTCACGGGCAATCCAGTTACCTATGGAAAAAACTAACATTCAGAATTCTTGCTATATTTAGAAATTAATAAAGCCGTTGTACGGCATCTGGAACACCTTATGAAAATGGCATGCTCATAAAATTTCTTTGTCCATATTTTTATTCAGCTGACAAAACCAGTCAGGCCGAAATATTCATAAAAATGTATACTAATTGCTGACATTACCCATTTAGTCATCTTGTTAGAAAAATTTAAATCCTCTAAGTATTCAAATGATTATTGCATATTCTTTGTTTGATAACGAAGATCATACTAAAAGTAACAAAATTATCTTAGGTAAAGAGTATTTTAAGTTGCATATTACCTCAAAAATATACAAGTAAATTTTTATAAGCAACTTTCAAAGTGGGATGCCATAAACTTAACTTTAGTTAATTGATTCCTTAATTTTAACTTTGACTTCACTTTAAAAATATTTGCTTTGTCTCTTGCCTTCGAAGTATCATCAAACTAGCTTCAGCTGATTTATTGCCAATTATTAGACTAAATAGGTAAATAATTTAGTTCTATTTTCCAATTTTCTAATTTGCAATTTAAATTTTCGTTATTTTCAAAATGGGACTGGAAGATTATATCGCCGAATATCACATTATACAAGAGAGTTATATTGTTATATTGTTGCAATGTTTTCTGTGGTTGGGCGATGGTCGGGTGTATTTTACTGATTAAAATTACAAATGTGGGTAAGGTCAGAAATACAATTTATTTATATATGTTTTAACTTTCTAGCTGGTATTATGTGTGTTGGGGAGGGGGCTACTATTACCACAAAAAAACCGTGGATGATGAGTGTTAGGTCAGCTTGAAAAATTATAGGTTCAAACATCCAGACTACTTCTTTTAACTATTGTTTTTTAATATTCTAACTTACAGATTTTTGGAAAGATTGGATATCCTCAATGTCTTATGAACTGGCCAACACCATCGACCGCTAACGAATAGTGTGGTTGATCGAAGCATTATAACGCCCTCACGCGTGAAAGGATGAGCATGTTCGGCGACAGGGATTCGAATCTGCGACTCGCAGATTGCGAGTTGAGTGCTCTAACCACCAGGCCATGCTAAACCTATGGGCACTATTAATTCTATATCAATTCAAGATCGTTCTTGTAAGCCATGGTTGACCATTTTTCCGGTTCGTCTTATTAAACCACTATTTTGTTGCAAACATGCGAATATTTGTGATTTTGTAAATAGAGTAATTTTACATATTAACTTAATTTTATTTCATGTCAAGATAAAAAAAAACTGTCCTGAACCACAAAACTCAAACTACCTTATTTTGATCATGAACTGCATTCGTAAGAATTTTATGTGCTACTGATGAAAGAAAAATATATATATATCATTTTCAAGTAATAATATCGTATGCTTAAGAACGTATTTGCTACTGTAATTTATATGATTGGACAAGTGTCATCTGATGTATAAGATATGTATGATAAACTAATATATTTCTGTGGCTATTAAAAAAACTTACCTTTGGTACTGCAGGAGGTCTTTCTCCGGTATAAGGTATTTCTTCTGTATCAGATCCAGAGTTAAAGTCTGTCAGTGCGACACTAGCGCTTCCTGGCCTATGTCTAGGTTGATGGGGTCCATGGTTAGGAGGAGACAGAAGGGAAGCTAAAGCCCGGAGGCCACTGATAACGTGAGGAGGAAGATTAGAATCAGCCAGCATATCGGTTACTATCCCATGGGCCTCAGCCAGCAGGGCCACATCCACAGTAGAAGTTGAACTCTGAAAATATACAGTATCTTAAACGTTTATGGGTGTACTTCAGCTCCACTGTAGTAAAATATGTATTTATGCATTCGTAAAACCATTCTTAAAGTTTATATATATATTAAGATATCTCTGTATAGGAGACGCACGACATCTTGGGAGTGCGGTAGCAAACCTTAAGTTAGGCTTAGCTCAATCTTAATTGATTTCGCTAATACTTCAATGTGTAGTCATCACGAAAGTACTATAAATTACATCACTTTAGTGAAAATACTGCAATAACGCATGAGTACGCACAAACAGATGTGGTTTGATGATTGACAATAACATTCATTCAATGTGTAGAATGCTGAATGTTTGGCGCAGATAGCCAAACTCGCAACAAACAACCAGCCAGTGTTTAGAATTTTGCTTTGAATGGAATGTGTTTTGTTGGCTTATAAAAAAACAACAATATACATTGTTTTAATAGGTTATAGTAAATTAAAACAGGAAAAATTCGCTTTAGAGCGATTTTCTGCGAATTCAAATAACACATTGCCATCAACCAACAATTTGTAAATTCCTCATAGGCTTTTCTACATTTGCATTTTAAAACCACAATATTTATTTATTGCACGTTCATAGTAATTGTATGACTGATCCAAATGTGTGATTAAAAATAAAAATCTGCTGATCTTCTCAAATTATCCTAAAAAGATTTTTAGTTGCTACAAAACAACAATTTTAAAAGTGCTATTATCAGACATTACATTATCCGAGATAAGTTATATGGCGGCAAGATATAAAGTAATTAAACTATATTATACACAATACAGTGTAGTGAATTACACTGACTGGTGATAAATGAGATCAAAATCCGCGCAAGATACTGTAAAAGAAAATATTTGATTCACAACAAGACTTTATTTTTCTCAAACGCTTCATTTTTATTTTTTTTTGTGTGTGTGAGAAGCTCGTGCATTGTAGAAACAAACGTTCTGAATAATGGATTATGTACGACAATATTAATATTGAAGTAACACAAAAATTCCAGTCATAAGCTTTTGTATTTTTTTTTATTCACTAATGTTACTGCTGCTAGCTTTCTGGAATAGAAAGTGTAGGAAAATGCTCTACGCAGGATAATGAAACTCCTTGGTCTTTCGCAAGTGAGCCAGAGATAAATTATAGATAGCATTGTTTTAAATAATTGAATGTGTTTATCCGATTACTTTCTGCGAGGAAAACATTTGACGTCATTATACTAAGTACGTGACGTCATACTAACGGTCTTTGTCGTCAAGAGTTCTTTGGTTTAAGGACGTATTTGCATAATACAAGAAGATTTTAACAGTGGGGAGGCTTAAACGTCTAACTTAAATGTTGTTATTTACGTAGTAATATCAAATAAGAAACAACGCTGAATAACAGCAAGATCTAAACTAGATAATTATTTTACAGCTAGTACTAATCGGAACATGTTTTAACGACTTGCTTTATTTAATAGTTTCGTTTGAGTTTACTCACTGAATATAAGAATATTTTTACAAGTTAGAGCTTTTGCAGTATGGGATAATAATACTTTAAACAGGTACGACGTTTCGATCACTAGTGTAATAATTCTGAAGTACACCAATTTTAAAGGTAAAGAAAATATTTCTGTGTTATATTTTTGAATGTTGATTTAAATACAAAACCTTTTTCATCAATTTAATAGTGTACTATAGCGTTTATAAAGGCGATATCTCGTTTAAATATGACATACAAATGGAAGCCGTTTCTACTGACAGCTATAAAGAAGAGTAACAGTTTGTCGGAAAAAAAATATTGATTTTAAGAGCGTGGAAGTGTGTGACTGTTCTGAATATTAAAATAACATTTGTTAAAGAAAGTAAACATTACATGAAAGACAAAGACACTAAATATATGTGTAGTCTGTAGAAAAAATCCGAAAATGGAGGGAGTATAATAAAAACCAAACTGTGTGAAAAGTAATTTTGAAATATTTAGTCAAAAAAGGAAAAATTTTTTTGGGGGGAGAAACCGGGAAAAAAATTAAGAAAAAAAAAAAAAAAAAAAAAA